TATATCGAAACAAGATTGGATGAGGATTTTTTTTTCGGTGAGAACTCGTGAGGACATTTTAAAAGAATTGAAAAAAATAAAAAAATTACAAATCATAATATCGAACATAATACTATATGAGAGAGAAAAAAATTTGGAAAATTTTTTTGGATCACTAAAATTGAAACATGAATCATTTTTATGATCAACAGTTCACTTTTTATGATACTTGATTCAATTTTAATGATCCATTTTTTTTTCAACATTTTTTTTCTATCTGATGTAGTACTATGCTCAATTTTATGAGTTGTATATATGTTTTATTTATTTTTTTTTTACTTTTTAAGGTATTCTCACGAGTCCTTACCGGAACCATATATATATATATATATATATATATATATATATATATATATATATATATATATATATATATATATATATATATATATATAATCTTATAAAAGAAATCTAACTATTTCTAAAAATAGATTGATTATAATAATAATATTTTTTTTAAGACGTCCAAAAGATGAAACTGATAGTACAAGTGACCATTAATAAAATAATATTAAATTTTAACTACGTTTTGAATTCAAATATTTATCATCAAATCTCCTTATATTTCTCAGCAATTTGATATGGTTCCCTCAAATCTCGGATTTATTCAAATTTTGAACCCTTTTAGATATCCTTAAATTTAGCATGTTGATTCAAATATCCCTCCAATCGCATATACCTCTTTGTTCCGTCATCTGCTATAAAACCCACCGTCCAGGAACAAAAAATGACTTTATCTCTCAAATAACACCATAGTTTGATTATTTTGTCTTCGATATGTACTTTCTTTTGTAACATAACATTTTTGTAGAGGAACACGCCCCGCCGCTTTGCGCGGGTACACTGCTAGTATATATATATATATATATATATATATATATATATATATATATATATATATATATATATATATATTCAATAGAGAACTATTATTATAAAGGAACCAAGAAACCAATCGTGAACATCAGAATCCAAACGATCAACGACCATGGAAATAATTGTATATTTTTTGTTTGGACGCGCATGAGCTAGAACATAGCTAAAAACCAATTTCATTTTTTTGTTATTTTTTATTTTTAAGTCTTGCTTTTTATAAAAAAAACTGAATAGTCCAAAATTCAGGATTTTTCTTCCTATTTCATTAGAAATTGATACTCATGTATACAACTGAATTGAAATAAAATTTTGTTTTCTTTGTTTTTTTCTTTGTTTGGGTTTATCTTTTATCGAAACAAATAAATAAATTAAAATTCATAGTTTGTGTTACTATTTAAATAAACATTCATATTAATATATAAAAAATTGTTTATTTCAAACTTTCTTTTAGATTTTCATGTGAATCTTTAATTGTACTGAAAAAAACATTCACATGTGTGAATGCTTATTGTAACCGATTTTTCTAGCATTTCTTTATCATTTACATGTGAATTTCACTAAATTCACCTATGATTATCACTAAATTTATTTTTGTATGATCAAAAGATTGAAATCGTCAAAAAATGAAGTGAAATTATGTAAATTGACATTCAATTTTTTAGATTTACCCACGAATGTGAATTTTTGTTCGAATTCAAATATAAAATTGATATATCTATTTTAACGATCATTCACATGGTTATTTTTAATTCACATACATCATCAAAATGTAAATATTGATCAAGAAATCGATATATTTATTACTATTATTATAATAAATGATGCTCATTTACATATAATATAACCACACAAAAAGTATCAATACTTGTTAAAAAAACAAATACAATAACTATTTATATGTGAATTATCTGTAATAAATATTTTGATAATTCAGATTCATAAAAAATCTGAATAGTATTGTTGTACAAATGAACAAAAAAATAAGAAATATTTTCAATATTAATAGAGATCTCTATTTGAAGAAGGCGAAAAATTATGAATATTTATATATTCGTTTTTTTTATCATAACCTAAGAAAATAAAACAAACAAACAAATTGATTTTTTTGGTATAATCCAATGCGTTCACTTCGAATTTAAAAATCTACAACCTAAATAAGTTTAAAAATCTACAAACAAAATCTGATGCGTACATGTCCAATGTAAACAATTAGAATTGGTTAATTGGTTTCTTGATTGATAATGATACTGTACTGAACTCTTTCTCTCTCTCTCTCTCTCTATATATATATATATATATATATATATATATATATATATATATATATATATATATATATATATATGGTTTGAGTAGCGATTATTACAGTGGGAGGTGTATAATAGCATTCCTTTGAAGAAATAGAGAATAAACATCAAAATAGATGCAATTTAATATAAACAATCATGGATGTCAAAAAGTCCCGTGGGACCCTGTTTTCGTGGGGGCCCTGTACCGTTTCGGGTATTTTAAAAAAAAAAATCGGGGGCGGGCAAGGTTAACCCCCATTTTACTTTCGGGGGAGGAGGTGGGGATAGACAATCTCGTCCCGAAACCTCCATGGGGATCCCGTTAATAAATTACACATATATTTACATATATTAAATATATAAATATAATAAACTATAACATGATTTTGAACTTTCAAAATTCATCAAAAAACATGTTTTTAAATTGTTAGTATAATGTTTTTTAATACCATAACTTTTTTATTTTTAACATGTAAAATTCTATTATACATAATTATTTGTTATCTAAAAAATAGCTTCTTTTAGCGTAAATAATAATTTCTTTTAGCAAAAAAAAAAAAAAAACAAAGCCCAAAATCAATTGAGGGTGGGGGAACGGGGGCGGGGGCGGGGGTAATAAAGGGGATTCGGGGCGGAGAAGAAGGTAGGAAGGCTGAACATTTCGGAGGTGGGGATGCACTGCCATCCCTTATGTCCCCTTTGAAATCCCTAAGACAATGCAACTTAAGTTTAAATGTTTTTGATTGAACTTGGTGACAAGTACTCAAATTTTTTTTGTGAAGTGACATGACCCAAAAAAGGTCAAGATGACAAATCGACATGATTAATCATAAAAACTATATTTTTGAAGAGTCCCATCTTTGAAAATAGACCAATTCGTCTCAATATATTATGGTGAAGTTTTTTTGTTTATAACAATACAAATAGTTGGTCTAATAGAATCTTTATCCAATAATCTAGCTCTTATTTTGGTTATTATTTGTCGAATGTCACCTTCAGTTAATAACGTAATCAAGTTTGCATGTTTGTATTATTTGTAGAATGCTACCTTTAATTTATAAGATAATAAAATAACGAAAAGATTTTTTTGTATAATCTGTTGTATGTTCGTCCAATATACAAATCTACAATCTATATTTTGGCATTTCATCTCTTTATATTTCGACGTTCAAGATTGAAGCATTGATTCCTTGATTGATAATCGTTTTTTATTGATCTCTCCCTCTCTCTCTCTCTATCTATCTATATATATATATATATATATATATATATATATATATATATATATATATATATATATATATATATATATATATATATATATATATATATATATCTTAATTACCTTATAAAGCATTTTTGGTCAAATGCTAAATTTTAAATCGTACAAACATACAATGCATTTGTACAATCAATTTATGCATTACAAAAAGAGTAGAGTACATATGGTCAACAATTGAAAAGGTCAAATCTCTTATCTCCTATTCTTAGGCTATTTTGATCCGGTTCATTCCTTATCTCCGTATTTCCCCAAGTTTCGCAATTTCTGTTCACAAATCTTGGGTATATATCGCTGACGTTTCCATTTTAGGGTTTAATTCATCTTTCAGCATTCAACCACCATTGTCACACCCGTCGCTTGGCGCGGGTAAACGGCTAGTATATATATACACACACACACACACACATTACAACTCTACTTGACGTTGCAGATTCAATATTGAAGTAATAATTTTTATTAGAGAAACAAAAATGTTAATTATCTTTGACTTTCATGATGGTGGAAAAGAGTATTGTTAAGTGATGTGAAGTAATAAATGATAATGGAGGAAATAAAACAGAAAAGGTTAAACGATAGAAGAGGAAAGAAATGCAATGAGAAATTGTATATTACATAGTGAAAATTGAATCAGTTATATTTAATAAGATAAAACTGTATAATTTAGAGTCTTAAATCCTAAGCTTATGTGGGGCTGTAATGTATATTCTCTATTGTTATATATATATATATATATATATATATATATATATATATATATATATATATATATATATATACACACACACACACATACACACACTAGATGTGTACATACACAAAGCTGCAGTAATAAATAACTCTTTTGGCAAATAATTTTCTTGTAGGAAAATAATTATTAGATTTTATTATTAATTGTTATGTAATTGAAAAATTATGTTTTTTAAATATAATATTTATGTTTAGACATTAAATTTATATTGTTTGTTTATATTATTGACGTAAATTATTAATATTGGTGTTTAGTTTAAGAAATATAAATTAATTTATATATATGAATATAATATTTTAAAATTATCATTTTGTTCCAAATTAAATTTCTTAATAACATTTATTAATTCAAGTCTTCAAACGTTATACAAATATTAATGATTTATTTATGTATAATTGATTTGTACAAAAAACTTTGGAGCTTATACCTCTTAAAATTCAAGATATGACTAATATGTTATATATATATATATATATATATATATATATATATATATATATATATATATATATATATATATATATATATATATATATATATATAATCAGTGATTCCTGTAGAGGAAGATGTATAATAGCCTTCATTAAAAGAAAAGGAGAACTGACAACACAACATATGCAATTAAACACAAAAAATACAACTCAATATAATTTTTTTTGATAGAACATGGTGATAAGCACTAACATTTTATTCGTGAAGTGACATGACCCAAAAATTATGTAGATGAAAAATCTAGATTATTAGTCATAAAGACTAGATCTTTGAAAATAGACTCATTGTCTCTTTATATTAGGGTGAATGTTCTAGTTCTAATAATCAGTAATCATTTAATCCAAATAGTTGTTTTAATAACATCTTTATCCAATAATCTAGCTCTTATTTTGGTTATTATTTTTAGAATGATACCTTCAGTTAGTAATGTAGTCAACTTTTGTTTCTATGCTTCGCTCTACTTATATTGTAGCGAGTCAGCAGTAAACGTACCAAAAAATAACTCGATAGCAATAATCTTAGCAATGGGAGATTCCTTCATGGATACAGGGAACAATAACCACAGAAAATCATTGATCAAGGCCAATTTTCCCCCGTATGGAAAGGATTTTTTGGGAAGAAAATCAACCGGAAGGTTCACTAACAATAGAACGCTTAGCGACTATATTGGTACGTAATTCATTATTGCAAAATTCACCCCAATATTCTTAGTAGAACTGATCTCTCTCTCTCTCTCTCTCTCTCTCTCTCTCTCTCTCACACACACACACACACACACACACAACATCACTGCTTCTATTAGTTAAGAAGTAAAGAGTTACAATGCGAGAATCTAAAGGGATCAAACTGTTGTACATTGCATGTTGTAGTTAAGAATCATTTCCAATACTAAAAGCTTCAATCATTTGATACCAAATTTGAAGCTGGAAATTTAGGAGTGAAGGAGTACCTTCCAGCGTATTTAGACCCTTCCATACAAGACCATGATCTTATTTCAGGTGTATCTTTTGCTTCTGGTGGCTCTGGCTATGATAACTTAACATCCGAATTAGTGGTATTAATACCTTATTTTATATTAAACCTCTTGATTTTTGCCTTTTTATTTAAATTCCAAATAAATATGATTCATGTCTAATTTGTTTTCTATTTTCTTGGGTATACGACAAGTAGAATGTCACACCATTATCGGTTCAGTTGGAGATGTTCAAAGAATACATTGGGAAGTTTAACGAGATTGTGGGAGAAGAAGAAGCAAACCAAATGATAAAAAAGGGTGTGTATTTGGTATCATCAAGCTCTAACGATTGGGCAATAAGTTACACTGCAGTTCCAATTAGAAGATTACAATATAATGTGGCTGGTTATGCTTATCTATTAGCAAACAATGCTAGAGTCTTTTTTGAGGTAATCATATGTGTTGGTTTTATGTCACACATAATTTTTTATATCATATTTTAGTTATTGAAAATGCTCAAATATCTTTACTAATTTTTCCTTTGGTGTTTAAAATTTCATTCAACATATTTCAAGAAAGAAAATATATTAAAAGTTTTCATGGCTTCTATAAAATATCAAAAGAGTTGTATACAACTAAATAAAAGTATATATATATATATATATATATATATATATATATATATATATATATATATATATATATATATATATTAATATATATATATATTTTGTTTTAAAACCAATACATACACTAACTTTAGTAATAATTTTTTTTGACTTTGTTGTTTTCTGTTTAAATTTACTTAAATCTGAATGTTGCAATAAATATACTTAAGGAATTATACAAACTGGGAGCAAGGAAAATAGTTGTCTTCGGCACACCATATATTGGTTGTTTTCCACTAGCAAGAACTTTCTTGGGAGGACTTATTACTTGTAGTAACATGTTGAATAAAGAAGCAGAAACCTTCAACAAAATGTTAAAAAGTCAGCTTGAATATCTTCAAAGCAGTCTGCCACAATCCACTTTTTGCTATGTTGATTACTTCAATATTTCAAGAGAGCTCATCGTAAACCATCTCCAATATGGTATGCATTATATTCGATATTACTTTTCAACACTGGAAACTATAATTTGTAGTGATTCTTGAAAAATTATTGTTCTCCAAATTTTTATGAAATTTATATCACATATTGACGTTAAATGTACTCATTATTTGTTTATTTTGGATCTTATGGATAACCAACACCGGCTATTGATGTTAAACAACAATGTGAATTATATTCCTACTTATAGTGAAAGTTACTCCTGTCTAAATGATGGAGACGACATTAGTTATATTTCATATATAGAGATTGTCCATAATGAACATAGTCATATATTGTTTTGGTTTATATTTTATGACATAAATTTAAGGAAGATGATGCCCATTAACATCTTCATCTAACGATTTTTTTCCTCAGGCTTCAGAGTTGTAGATAAGTCTTGTTGTGGAACAGGGTTGTTCGAGACAGCGGTTCTTTGTAACAAACTTAGCCCAGTATGTCATAATGACTCAACATTCTTATTTTGGGATAGTATCCATCTAACAGATGAAGGATATAAACTTGTTGCAAATCATGCTCTCCCAGAACTAAGGAGATGTTTGCTCTAAATTCATGAACTTTATTATGAGAGTTAGCTAGTTTGTTGGTAGAGGAACAACACCATCTAAGCAATGAAAATAGAACAAGAGAGCTTTTTAATAATATGTTGTGTGTTGGATTAAATGTCTAACGTTTTAACTAAATTGGTATAATCTTAAAAAACAAAAATGAAGTCCTTTTATGTTTCCCTCATAACAAGGAAATAACTTTGATTGATTATAAGAGAGATAAATGATTTATTAATATATTATATGATTAATATATTAATTGGAAATAATATAATTTAATTAAGAATTAATCAGAATTAATTTGGATTTAATTTTGGGTTAATTAAAATAAATTAAAGGTATTGGGACTGAGCTGCAATTATTCAATAGTTGAATAAATAAGAGGATCCATAACCTTCCTAGAGGTGGATGGTTCTGGGAACCCTAATGAAGGGTTCTAGAAGCCTTCAAATCAGATAAGGAAACTAGATTAAACTTTTTCTTTATGCTTATTTAATACAAAATATTCTTTTATTAGTGTGAAATCTTTCACAGAAAGTGGGTTGCACTTGATCCCACACCGGCTTGGAAAGAGAATGATACATTTCCTTGTAAGGGGTGTGGATACATTCATTGTCACAATGCATTTTAAAGTTGTGAGGACAACATATCCCATAAGAACTCTACAATTAAGCATGCCCGAGCGAGAGCAATTCCAAAATGGGTGACCCATTGGGAAGTTTTCATGCCGGGAGCCCAAAGAGGAATAATATTGTGATAGATGCCAGGGGATGATGTTAAAAATGGTATCGGAGATGAGGAACGGGTCGATGTGTTTGACGGGGGCATCAGAACCTATAATGGGGGGGGGGGAGGGAGGGGGGGGGGAAGGTGGGTTACACCTGATTCACATCGGCTTGGAAGGAGAACGAAACATTTCCTTATAAGGGGTGTGGATACCTACCTTGTCACAACACGTTTTAAAGATGTGAGGGCAGTAGATCACATAAGAACTCTGTAGTTAAGCATGCCCGGGTGAGAGCAATTCCAGGATGAGTGACCCCTTGGGAAGTTTTCATGTCGGGAGCCCCAAGCGGACAATATTGTGATACGTGCAGGAGGGGGATGTTACATCGTCTAGCCTAACTTACGGGCGTTACAATTATCTCCCATTTAAGATGATTACTTCCTAGAATGATTAGCAAACAAACATTGGATGATGATCCTGCAAGTCACCTTTCCATCCTAAGCAATAACCGTAACTCATATGCCTTCCTCATCAAGATCTTGGACTTCTTAGCTGCTGGCGGTGATTAAACTTTCACCCACTCTTCATTCTCTGTTGGACCTTCAATCTTAATCTCTGAGTGAAAAACTCGACCTTCATCAGACAATCCTGCTCCCTTTCAAACATAGTCAACCCATGATAACATCTTTACTTCGGCTATCATGACAGACCGCATGGTCATATTCTAATGACTTTCTATCGCATGTTGCAATGACTAGACTCAGGTCTCTATGAGTTAAACTCTAGCATTGAATTCACCTTCCTTTATGTTCTAATGTGATATAATAACATCATAGCAGGTAACATTTTAGCTATAGGTCGTTAACGACGACTGAAATACTTTTACCGATCGATTTGATTTTCTTTTCCATCAATCTTCTGACTAAAGTCAGATACTATATTGAACATTGAACTGAGTAACTTAATTTGCAAATATATCTTAATCGGACTCAATTCGTTATGACCACTGGGGTCGGAATAACATTCTTTTTCTTAGTTGTCAAATGATGGTAACAACAAAATTTAGAAAAATAAACTCAACTACTAGTGTCTTAGTAACCTTGTGACTCTTCCTGATCCAAGTGAAAGTTTTATGCTTTGGGTAGTATAGGCCAATATTACCTTTCACACCTACTCATACTTGTCCTGAGAATTGTCTCACAGTTTTCCAAGTCACCATCCAAGAAAATTCACATAGCAACTTAACATGTTGGATAGTATAACATAATTAGGGATTCTATAACTCTAGAAAACGGTTACAATACTTATCCAAACTACACCATACTCCATGTCAGTTACATCAGCTTACATAATATAATACTATCTATGTGAGATGACCATTTCACATCTTGAACTCCGGATAAGAAAATTTCTACTCTTGATCTCCTGCAGTGACATCTACTTCACCAAGGATCACATGGAATGCTCGAGCTTTTGCTTTTGGCTGAACGTTTGTCTTTGCAGCTTCTTTCTTTTTTTGGAAGTCCTTTGAAATATGCCTATTATCTCTACATATATAACATATCTTGTCATTAAATGCTCAATCTGTGGAATATTGGACAACCCTTCCATACTTGTAGCATGTCACTTCTCCATCACATCTCCCAAAGTGCTTATTCTTTCACTTCTCATAGGCAACAACTCATATCTTTAGGTTTGAAGACTTATATGATATTACCGTCTAACGATCACTCAAGATAAATTCGATGAAGTGATACAAGTGAGCGTGGGTTTAATCCAATACAAAGAACTTATGAGCACTCATGAATGTTGTAGCAACTTTTGCCATGTCTAACACCTTAGACATCTACAAGCCCAATTCATGACAATCTTCATTCATATCTACTTCCAACATATGACTGACCGTGGAGAATTTGAATAAAGTAATTATTTTGGAAGTCAAAACATGCAAAATTGAAACAATAGTAAACAATTGACACAAGATAGCAACACCTTACTTATAAATAAACAGCAACTTTTATTTAATAATCAAATGTCAATTACATTTTACAAGTTTCAGAACTATCTAATCTATAAAACTAATATCGTCCTTCAGCCCGATGTACCTCGCATGCTGCAAATGCCTAACCCTAGTCAGTCCCTTCGTGAGAGGATCTGCTGGGTTCTCTTCTGACGATATCCTCTTTGCTACGAGGAGTCCTTCTTCTATCTTATGTCTTATGGAGTGATATTTTCTGTTAATGTGTCTGGATCTGCCATGATCTCTTGGTTCCTTGGCTAAGGCAACCTCAATATTACTGTCACATAAAATCTCCATAGGATCCTTTTTAGCTGGTACAACTCCAAGGTCTCTGATCAAGTTCCTCAACCATATTGCCTCCTTCGCCACTTCACTTGCTGCTATATACTCTGATTCACATGTCGAGTCAGTTACTATCTCCTGTTTGTAACCTTTTCAAGTAATTGCTCCTACATTCATGGTAAAGACCCAGCCCGATTGAGAGCGGAAATGATCCCTATCGGTCTGAAAGCTAGCATCACTATACTCCACTACTCTCAAGTCATCACTCCTACCAAGGGTAAGGAACCAGTCCTTAGTCCTCTGTAGGTACTTGAGAATGTTCTTTACCATAGTCCAGTGAGCTTTTCCAGGGTTCCCCTGATATCTGCTGACCATGCTCAAAGAAAAGGCCACATCAAGGCGGGTACATATCATAACATACATGATCGAGCCAACAACAGAAGCATATGGTAATCGACTTATCTCAACTATCTCAGCCTCTATAGTCGAGCTATGAGCCTTGCTTAGTTTGGCATTATGCTGGATTGGTAAGTCACCTTTCTTGAAATTTTGCATGTTGAACCTTTTCAACACTTTGTCCACATAGTTGCTTTGACTAAGTCCAATTAGTCTTTTACTCCTTTCTCTCAATATCCTTATCCTTAGGATATAGGCAACTTCTCGAAGATCCTTCATAGCGAAACACTTCCCAAGCCAGGACTTAACCTCCTGTAAAGTTGGGATGCCATTGTTGGATTAGTGTCTAAATTCATAACTATTTTGGTATGTACTTGACCCGATGGTGCATGGTCTTTTGGGTTGCCTTCACCAAAGCAACTTGATAGGATGAATTATGGAGAGAGAGATGATTAATTATGATTTATTAATATATTATGAGAATAATATATTAAAGGAGAAATCATATTGGTTAATTAATATTAGTCAATAATTAATTAAGAATTAATTTTGTGGCTAAAAGACATTAATTAAACTTAAGGGACTAGAACTGTCAATTGTATGATAGTTGAATATTAGGCTAATGGACTCCATATTAGAGGGGTGGACGAATTCTATGGGGAAACCCATTAGAAATCGTCCTAGGCCTCTAAGGAGGGAGTCCATGGGTTGCTTAGGGCTTAAGCAGTCAAATTAGGGTTTCCTTGTTTGATAACCCCAATAGCCTCACTATTTAAGGATCCCTAGAGCACCAAAAACGTGGCGAAGAGTTTCCTTAAGGTTTCCACACGTTTTTGGGTGCCTCCTCTCTTATCATTCTTCATCCTTTTGCTCTTGGTGTTTGTGAGCCATTAGAGGAGTGACACTTGTGACTCTAAGCTTTTTAAAGCCATTACAAGGAGGATTTGAGTTGTTATTACTATATAACAACAAAAGGTATGTATTCTAATCTTCTTGGTGAATTTCGAAAATAGTATGACTCATTAGGGTTTTATTATGTGTTCATAATGTTGTGTAACTAATAGTGAAAACATAGATCCAATTCTAGGGTTGCATGCACACATAGGATTGTTTGTATAAAACCCAACAGTGGTATTAGAGCCAATGGTTATTGTTTTCAATTAGATTTTATTCAAATGTATGAACTTGACATATTAGGTTTTATGGCTAATAAACCCTGAAGGCTAGGTAATTTTCGCAATTAGGGTTGCAAAACCCTAGCTGGCGATTTTTGCTAGGGTTTCCCAAACCTTTTCCTTAGCCTCCAAGATTTTGAAATGTAGGGTTATCCAACCCTTGGATTTCAAAATTACCTCCTTCCCCAAGGTTAGATCCTAAATTTTAGGGATTTGGATTGTCCCATATCTTGTAATTATCCTTTAATAGTTAAATATGGTAATTTAAGATTTTGGGATATCTCATCCCTTATTTTCGAAATCTATGTAGATTTTTAAGGGATTAGGATATCTTAAATGTATAAATGGTAATGATACTCAAGGTTTAGATAATCCCTTATGATTTAATAATTAAAATTAATAGTCTAATTCAAGATAATTATTAAATCAAGAGTTTTAATATTTAAAATTTTAATTTAAATGTCTTAAATTCGAAAATTTTAAGTGAGATTAAAACCTAATTGTTTTGAAAAGTTTCAAAAGTTGCCCTCAAGTTTTGG